AAACATTAGACACAGGTCTCAGTCCTGTTTGCCCATCAAGTTCCTTTTTAAGCCTGCCATAACTGTCCTGTCTACTTAGACCACTCCTTACAACGAAGCACTCATTTGGACGTGGATCTTTTGGGTCCATTTGGGGCTCTTTTTGCTTCTTCCCCACACTTTTAAAGTTAAAGCCACATAATCACAAAGGAAATTGCAGAAGAAGAGAAGTCAACGTGCTGTAAATACTGAAATAGCCCCATGTCCAACAGACCAACCTCCCTCTAGGGATGGGATCTCCTCCTGGTGCAGGCTGGAGAGCTGAAGGGTCAGGTTAGGCTGTTAGGACAGTCTGGAGCAAGACACCTGGAAATATCAAAACCAAACGTGAGACAAAAGGCAAGCCAGCGCAACTGCTTTAGGAAGAGAATTCTTTTTATTAAATAGAAGGTGGCAAGTTCTGAATCTTGAAAGTCTCTTAAGAGTACCTGAAGCTGGGCAAAACAAACCAAACAAAAAAAGATCTGATGATCCATGGACCCAAGCCTGTATACCTTATTTAATGTCAAGTAAGCTTTGCGAGAAACAGATGGACTCAAGTGACGCCTATGGAAACTGATTTTGCACATCCTCCTATGCTGTGTGTTTATCTGAACATGAAACATATTCCAGTACGATGTAGAGACCTCAGCTTGGATCTCAACATCCCAGAGCAGAAGACCAAAAAAAACCCCCAAAACCCAACCACACACACCCACACAAAAATGGGAATCTCGGATTATATAGCACTCACCAGGGTCTCTTTATTGAGAAAGTTCAAAGTTCAGTCAGAGTCTTTTGCTCATTAAATTGTCATCTTAACTCCAACAGGGTACACAGGAGGTATTTTATATTAGATGTTAGGGTAATAGCAGACACAGGCTCATGGAAGAAAAATACCATAGTTTTTCTTATCAAAACAGTTTTGATTACTTGCAGAGTTCATATTTATCACAATAATTCTACTCTGGAACTTCCTTCACTAGTAGGTCATTTGAAAGCAACCTTCTATAATAACTGTGACGAGTTTGACCAGCGTTTTCAAAGTGAAATTCAACATTTTCACTTAAAAAACCCCACTGCTCTACTGTTTCAGTCTGAGGGAAAAATCTGGCTGCATGATGAAGTATGAAAACCACATGGCTACAGAACTACCAATCATCAGTCTGGAAGTGTTTAAACCACCTCAGATCTTCCTGTTCAAGCGACACAGGAAACTCCAAAACATACAATTAGGATAAGAAAAAGCAGATTAAGAAAAGGAAGTCTGGAAATTGGTTTGAGGGATTTAAAAAAAAAAATCAAATGCCTCCTTTGAGTAGCTAGAGTCTTAAACACAGTCTCCAACTCATAAACACAACAGTAACATTATTAACACACAGAGAATTTAACTTTCAAGTGCTGACCTGAAAATGTGATTAAAACCGCCTGTGATTACAGGTGCACCAATTGCCTATCTGGTTTGCATCTGTAATTCACCAAAAGACAGTAGTTCCTCTCACGTTTTCAAAACAAAACTCAAATACTTCAAGACCATTTGATATTGCCACTCCCAATTTAGGAGAGATGTCTGAAAAACCCTTCTTGGTCCTCACTACTGACTTTTAGAAAATAAGAGAGCTGGATAGGAATGCTCACACATAGAAACTCTCTGCAGACCACAAAATCTCTCTGCATCTCAAAATATTTGTGTCTTCTGTATCTTGGGCAAGCAGAATATGGAAAGCTCATTAGCTAGCAGATGACGTAGCGGACAAGTCTTGAGCCACGAACTTCTCTCACTCTCTGGCAATGGCGCAGGATATTGAGGATCCTATGGAAGCGCTTATCCACTTTCAGCTGGGTGAACTCTTTGATGTCAGCCTCCACAATAAAAAATTCACCTGGAAAACAAACGATGACTTTGCTATAGAAATTACTATGTTGTAGGATACACTTCACATTTCACAAGTACCAATACAACCTCTTCTTACCGTTTCCACGAACCAATGAAAAAAACCATACAAATCAGCAGTAGGACGGCCTCACACTCTCTCAGGAACTTTGTTCTACTTTCTGAATTCGTCACCGGAAAGAATTATTACCAACCTTCCCATTAAGTTCAACTACCCTGCACCACCCATAGGCCCCATTCAGCCAGCTCCATCTTGTCAGCTGTATCTCCCGACATCTCTCAAGCCATCCATGCTCCCTCTATCAGGGTATAAAGTCTGTAGCAGTTCCCAAACGCCACCCAGAGCCAGACAGGAGACGATCCACCAGTGCACCAGAAGATGGGGACGTCAACTGACAGCACACCTTGAAGAGCCATGATGCCTAACAGTGAACTTCCCTTTGAGGCCTTGCCCGTAGGTGTTCTGCTCTTGGTGACACCAAAAGCACTGACCTGAGCAAAACCAAAGAAATGCTCAGGGTCTGCTTAAAGGTCATAACACACTTTAAAAAGAAAAAAAATCACGTTCTCTCAACAGGCACTCAAGTTCTGGAGTTGGCCCTTTGCAAATAAAAAGAAAGGAGCCCTGGGTACATCAGAGCTACGCAAGCCCACCATTCCCTTGACTGCCATCAGATTTGGAAAAGATTAATTCTTCGTCAACTAAGAAAGTGCAAGAAAAAGACTAACCACATGGAAAAGTATCCTCTCCGTGTCTCTAAGACAATGGCATAGGAAAGATCTGCATCAGAGCTGGCAGCCCATCCCTTCTTGTAGTTGATTAACTACTTCTGAAGGAAATTCTCATTACGAAGCACTTGTTAAGAAACCAAGGCCGTGACTGGAGTTAAAGCATTTAAAATGCTTGCAACAGAATCCCAAGAGAAGGTCTCCACAAGCTAATAGCAGACACAACGAAGGAAGGAGTTACTCTAAGCGCTCCATAGCTATATTCACTAGTTGTGATTTCATATTCAGTCTTTATATACTGCTCAGATAGGAGATAATTATAGATCTAGTAAAATGACTGTACATTCAATACTTCCTGTAACACAGCATAGGATTTTAATCATGCATCTTCACAAAATCATACAGATGAAAAGCAATCTGAAACTAGGAACAGGGTAATTAAGATATAAGAAAGAAATATCCAATTATCTTTAAGGTGAGTACATAGAAGGAAATAACATATTCTTCTGTAGTATCATGCTTCCAAGTCCTATGAGAAAGAAGTCACAAGGCTAGGGGTACTCTAGCTTGGGAAGAGAGGACAGCATTCTCCCTCCTCCTTATACCCTTAAAGTAAGGCAGAGGCAACATCATCTTAGATAAGATGGAGCATTTCTTCTTTGTATTAAGTTACTGGGGAATCCTTCCAGCTTAACCAAGGAGAAAGCAGCTGATGCTTGCTGGAGATCCAAAGCTGCCAGGGAAGCTTTTATTTATTTATTAAACAAGTACAATGTAGCTTTACAGAGGCAAAATCTGTGTTTTTCTGTAGAGGTTTCATCTTTAAATTTCACCTTATGAATGATCTAACCGGACACGCACTCCACTCTTGATGGAGCATCCTAGGATGTAACGGCCATTAAAATTAAGGTCCCAGAGTGCTGTTTATAAGTGGAGTGTTCCCCAAAATTACAGAATCACAGAATCATTGAGGTTGGAAAAGACCTTTAAGATCATCAAGTGCAACCATCAACCCAACAACACCATGCCCTCTAAACCATGTCCCCAAGTGCCACATCTACACGTTTTTTGAACGCTCCCAGTGATGGAATTTTGCTTAGCAAGAGCTGAAGTATAACAGATCATGTTTTCTCACCGACTGGGCCATTTTGAGAGTTGGTGACACAGATGTCTAACAGGAAGTAGAATCTTCCAGAGAAAATAACTGTCAAAAGCTTGTGTTCTTCCCCCAGACAGGAACTATGCTGGAATCTCAGAGCTTGCAACACTGCTTAATTTACATACAGATGAGGAATGGAAAGTTTGTTTACTAGGAAAACCTGCACAACTGCTTAAAATATAACTACAGCTGGACAGAGACCACTTAGAATTTCCAGTAATAGGGCAATACACCTAAATGGTGTCAGCAACCCAGGGATAGTCCGCATACCCGTTTCCCAGTCTGTTACATTTGGGGGAGCATCAGAATGTCCCGAATCTATGCAGAACACTGTTTCTTCTTGTATTTGCTCATAATTCAGAACAACATTCAGCATAGCAGGATCTTTTTTATGAAGAATCCAGAGCTGGCTAAAAGGTGGTGATTTGGTTGGAAACAGTAGGTGGATGCACTAAATAACAAGCTAAACAGGGTCACCTTACTGGCTGGAAGGTTACCCTGATAAACCAGGCAGCATCTTTTCTCATCTTGAAATCAGAGGAAGAGGTCAGCTGGCAATCAGCCCCGGCTAAGAAACTGTGGGAATCCTAAGCAGAGAGACACTCACAGTAGAAATTTAAGCAAACAAATCAATGAATGAACAACCTCATCCTGAAAAATGCAACAGATAAAGACATTTAATCATTTTGTGCTGGCCAGATAAGAACAGTCTGACAGCCTGTCAGACCTTTTCTCTAGACTTTCTAGATGATTAGTCACAACAAATAAAAGCAAAACAAAACAACCTACCCCGTGTGCATGCACACACACACTCTCTCTCAGATGCTGAATGTCCCAGTTTCCTAACTGAACTCCCCAACATAAACAAGAAAATAAAGATTGGCTCTCAGGTACTTGAAGAAATTAAAAGCCTCAATTTTTCAGACTTAAAAAAAGTATTTTCTGGCAGAAAATGATCTCTGACTAGTTGTAGCTTTCTCGAGTTGCTAGAATGGCTCCTTCATTGCAGCCAAGGCTGCCGTGGACCACGGTGCAGACTAAGCAGCACTCCAGGCCTAGGAGGACCCTTCTAGTGTTTAGCCTCTCCTCTATAGCCATGGGCTCAAAACTCCTTACTATCGTCCTGAGGACAGTAACATTGAAGAAAAAAAAAAAAACCACCGTAAGTTAAAAATGATGAAGCAAGTATTTCTAGAAATCCCAGATTAATATGAACCACTGTTAGGCTGAAGCAGAACTTGTCTAAAAAAAAAAGAAAAACAACAAACCCAACAACAAAACCCCAAAACCCCAAACCAAACTATCCAAGCCCAAATCAAAAGGCAATCACATGAAGTAGTCTAGCTGCATGCCTTTAGCATGCTTTTATTAAAGTCCTTCACAACACTGACTTTCATATGGCATGTTTATCCTACAGGTCTCAAAATAAAGTGCCAGGAACGTCCATCCTACCAGAATTCCTTCCCTAGCGAAGAGATGCATTTAGAATCTAGAAGTTAGTGATGTTATCACCATACCATAAATACTGAGAGACTCTCTATCAGAGAGAAATCCAAAGGAAGGAAGAAAAAGTTGTAGTTTGTCACAAGGTGACTCCCGAGTCCCCAGTGGATGTGCTTAGGGCAAAAGGTTCTCACATTCTGTCCAGGACAAAAATTGAGAGGTGGACACCACGGTGTTGTCTGAAAAAGAGCTCGCTCTCTGAGCCAGAAGAGCGTTTGCTCCACACTTTATGTCTGAACTTGGAAACATGAGGGCATTCTAAGGACACTGCCAAGCTTGATATGTGCAGTACACCCCTCGAGGAATAATTACATACTTGTTCTCCAAAGGAAAGGAATGTCAAAAAGGAGATTTTAATATTAGAGATTTACTGTGCCACATATCTTTGAAAAAACTAACCTGTAAGCACAACTAGCTTTCAAATTGAGAGAAAGACATTTTGGTGCATATTCACTCCCTCTGTGCTTTAAAGAGGAGAAAACTTCTTAAGATTATCAGACAGCCCTGTCTCTTCCAGAAAGCCACTGCAGCATGACCGATTACCCAGATTTCCCAACTTCAGAACAAATTTTTAATAGCTGATGTCCATCCTAGCTTAAAAACTGAAAACGCAGCTTATGCAGTTTGGTTATCAAGCTAGTAGTTGCCAAAACTTGTAGTGATTCCAAATTAAACCTTTGTGCACTCTAGAAGTTTTTGTTACAACATGCCATGAAAATGACACGTTTTCAGTGAAAACATGTAAAAAGTAACCAAATCAGGTATGGGAAAACTCTTCAGTCAAAACAATAACCCTTGTTGCTAAAGTATACCACTTTTTTCAGAAGAGGTGACTGGATTTTATACTGACCACCCAGTTCTGTGTAGCAAGATGACATTTATATTCCTTATGGCCTAGAATCTTAACTGGAGATGAGTCTCATTTCTGTTCTCCTCCCTTATATCAAAGGGGAACTAAAACTCTCATGGCTCTAGACTGTCAAAGTGCTGTTCGTCCCCCGCAGTGGACAGGAATTATTCTTCAGGGCCAAATCTGATTTAAACTGTGGCAAATCACATGTACATGCTGAGAAGGGAGGGAAAGACCTGCTAAGTCCACAGATTTTTTTTTTTTCCCCTCCTGCTGTTCATCTGAGAATAAGCAATAGCCGGTTCTCTAGAATTTTTCAGGACTGATGGTTTTAAACATCCCCACAGGTTAGGCCACTCCACCAGATGGACTATTTTCTGAGAATAAGATGCGGTAAGTCACACTACAACATGAAAAGCACATGCTATCATTAATCATTCAATATTTTGTCCAGTATTTTTATACGTGTGCTGCAATATCCAAATGTTATGAGCTTGGTACTAACAAAGGGGAAGGAAAAACATACCTTTTGTATCCTTAGTTTCTTCTTCCAGGAACCTGTGGTAGAGATTTCTGACTGCTGCATTCATAGATTTCAAAGGCTGATGCAAGATCTTGTACTTGCCTACCACAGCCTTGTTCATCTCTTGAACAACTGCATTAATCTGATCATATGTTAGACGACCTTTCATATACCTACAAATAAAAATAAAAATCAGTAACCAGAAAGTCATAAAGTTCCGTGTTTATTTTTTCTCTTTCATCGGGCTTAATTGAACATGTTATTCCTAGTTAGAGGCAGTTTCTTCTGCTTTGTGTTAATGAATAAACGTTGTAGTTAAATTTTGTTCATTCCCTTGATTGTTTAATAATGTTCAAGGCAAAAAAGCCATGATAAAACTTAAACCAGAAAGATGAAACATTAGAAAGCTAAATTAAGAAGTAAAAAATATCCAGTGCTTAAGCTGTAAGGAGCCTTTCAAAATAGAATAAAGGTTGCTTTTATAGCGCACCACTTAAACTACAAACGGAGAAAAACCAAGGAACTTTGCAGAAAACATAACACAAGCCAAAACTGAAATTAAATGTTTCTGCCTAAGAGTGCAATTTGGTTCATATTATAATTATAAATAACCTGTGTTTGATCTTACAGCCATTCCTTTGGGTTTTTTTCTGAAGAAATACCAGTTTTGTGGTATATTTTATTGTGCAGCTTACTAAGCTACACACAGTTCTGCACTACTGACATCCTCTTCTGAAGTTTCAGAGCATTTCATAAAGCTAGTACTAAAATAATAAGATCTGTTGATAACAGCCTAGAGGTACAGGAAGCACAGAAGAGAAAAAACAAAGTGATGTGGAAATATTAGAACACTGGAATATTTGCAAGTAAGGCTATTCAACATTTATAGATGTAAAGGCATGCATTCAAGGAAAAGGAAACATGCTACAAACTGAGAAGCTGTTATATAAAAAAGAAATCAGAAACTTCTATGACAAGCAGTAAGCTAAATACAAAACAAAACCCCAGAAAACACTGCAGTAAAAGCCAGGGCAACTTTGCAACTTGAATTATCCTGTGATCACCATTCAGTCACTACCACAAGCCACACTTGGCTGTTTGCATTTGGTTCAGTATCAGTTTGGAGATGTGGGGAATTAAGAAAAGTGTTACAATTCATTTTAAGGATGAGTGGGGTTCTTTAGGTCAGAACATCAGGTGGCTAAAAGCTGTAGGACAGTACGAGTGAAAAGATCAATGGACAGGAAATTCTTCCTTCATTTTAATCCAAATGGAACAACTCAATCTTTGAAAAACACACAAAAAATTTAAAGCATAAGTAGCTAATCAATTAAAAATCCGATATTCCAAACCAGGATGTGGGCAGGCACTCTACAACCACCAACTAAAAATAAGTGCTTAGATTTTAATAATAGCCAGTCCCTGCCAGGGACACAGGGCATATAAAACCTCCTAAAAATCAACACAACTGCTCTAATTTCAGACTGAATTGCTAGAAGGTTTATTTGTAGCCAGTTTTCAATTTTATTGCTATTTTGATTAATCCAGATTCAAAGTTGGAGGAGCGGCCGTTTTTATAAAAACACTCTACTTGGCACACGTAACATCATCTCAAATAAAGGCAGCACTACCACCCCTGAAATGCAGTCACACTCGGCATAAAAGAGTAACACAGCATATAACCACAGGCGGGCTTTGCCTGTCTACATTAACTGCTATTTATTGCCCTACCTGCATCCCTTAGCCTTTTTATAAAGTCACAGGGAGATGTGCAGAGCTATGAAGATTAAGGCCAGAGGTATAAAATACCTATATTTAAGTTCCTGTGCTCCCACTATCAACAGGGATACAGTGAAAACACTTAATAAAGCCAAAAGACACCTCAGCTCATCCGGATGCAGAAACAAAGAAGCAGGATTCAGTTGCCTAAACCTCAGAACCAAGCACTCTTTGAGAGGCCCTCGGGCATCCAAGAGGCTCCCACGGGGCTAGCAGATGTGCTGGAGTTTACAGAAAATTCAGGAATTAAAGATCTGGAGGTACACGCCAAAGCATCTCCAATGGCACCAGCCAGCTCTGCTGAGGCAGCTGAGACACGCCATTAGCAGCCAGGCAGCTGAGCCATCATCCGGTTTCATCGACTGTACTGACTAGACATTCAGCGACATGAGTGGGAGTTGGGACACTCGGTGAGCGTGGAGACATCTGTGTCACAGACACTTAAATGTAGGCACCTTAATCTGAAGCTAAATTCTGTCAAAAGCAACTGGATTTTTTTCTTCTGTACATAACTGTAAGGATCATAAAAACTCCAGCTGTTCCACAGTCTTCTCATGTTTCTATCCAGCCACGGCTAGCAAACCCATAAATGCTGACATTTATTTCTAGTCCATACGTACACTAACAAAAAAATACAAAGTCAAGAAGTTCTAAATTCATCCATTTAGATTTAAAATAACTTTAAAATCTACTTCACTACACCAAAAGCAAAAACATTCAGAACTCACTTTTTTTTTTTTAAAAAATCCACAGAAGCCCCTTTCAAAACACAGATGACTTTTTTTCCATAGGTATGAAAACCAAAGCACAGTGCTATGTTCTTCAAAGAAAAGAATAACATCAATATATCACATACATACCACTGGAAAAGACATAAATCTCCTAATGGCCATCCCCTGCTCCCTCAAAAGAACTTAGGCTAAAAGAAACATATATTCCCCCAAGTTACCATCTTCTGAGACTTCAGAGTCATAACGAATGTGCAGATTCTAAAAATATCTTCAGCAGTAAGAATTTTAGACACAGAATAAAGCAAGCATTGTCCTTTGCCTTGAATTCAGTGTTAACCGAGACATCTACTGTGCAATTTCCTTTCTCTTCCTCCAACAAGGGCCTTTCTGTAACAGATTTGAAGGCCAAGATAATGTGCATGTTTTACTGTGCAAGAGTATTCTCTTTGCTCAAGGTGCTCCATATCTGCACCCAACACAGCATGGAGCTTTGTTAGATACCTGCTGCAGAGTTCTAAAACTACAAAGTCATCAAAGACTGTATATCCCTTTTAGTGCCCTAATGATGTTAGGGATGGATTCTCCTTCACCTTCAGCACAAAGCAGGTGATAACCACCTAGATTTTTCAGTTAGTCTGCCACAGCTGCAGTAGGAAGGGAGAGAGGAATGAGACTCTTGGCAGATGCAAACCCCACGATACCCAGCTGGTATGGGATTTAGACACATATGTGATGCATAGGCACAGTTGTGCTTTAAGTCCCTCAGACAGGCTTAGCATAGTCCTGTGCCAGCGCAGCCACGCAGCTCCGGGACCAAAGCTGCACAAAACTGCAGTAGTATCCCTTGTTACTATAGCCAGCAGGTAGAAAGAGATCCTACATCAGAACCGGGACATGAACCTTATTCTCCTTCTTCTAAGAGAATGTTCTTAGGTGTGAGAAAATTTGGGTCACAAACATTAGCTGCTTCTATTTGATTAAACAGTATGTGAAACTGCAATCTTAGCGGACTCCCCTAATCTTGCATTACAACACTGCCAGGCAACAGGAAAAAAACCTGGTAGATTAACAGATCTATTTAAATTCATGTAACTCTTCCTCCACAGAACAAACATGTCTTTCCCATCTGAATAAAAGTATTTCTATAGCCCCACAAGCACAGTCTAAGGTGCAACCTTTCTATAAACCAGCGATGAATATGAGAGTATCCATCTGGCCTCTGTCCCCATTCTCCCCACCCACGAACAGCAGTGGAAAACCTTCCACTTCCAAGGATAATGAAATGCTTAAAGGGGCTATTAGGGAAGATCATAGCTTTAACTGGAGATTAAAACAACATTTGGCTGGAATGCTCTATGTCTACTTTTCTTGCCTTAGCAGAGATAAAGGCCAAAAAATACCCATGCGCCAGCTTTTAGCTTCCCAAAATTTTATCAGGCAAGAAGTACCTGAGGGAGTAAATCCACCAAATGAGAGAGAATCTGCAGAATGAAAATACCAGGGGCACGCACTTTTAAGATGTAACCAAGAGAGTCCTTTATTATTAGCTCAATGTTCAGGCTCCTTCCTTTTCTGGATTGAGCAAGAAAATGGACATTGCTCACCTGAAAGTTTTGAAAGCTACAGGAAAGATGATTTGGAAAGTTCAAGTAAAACACAGACAAAAAAAAATTCTTATTGAAACAAGTGTTGTCAGGGAACACACAATCTAGAGTCTAGATAACAACTTAGCTTTAGGCATCAGGAGAATTTTCCCCTTTTTCCAGAAGTACTTGTCCTCATCCCCAAAATGCCATTTAAGAAAAGTTATTCCTACATGACAGACTTCAGACAAGGTCCTGATGGGAGAGGAAAAAAAACCTCACAGCTTTCTATTCCAGAAGTTTGGGATATTTCAGTGGGAAGTGTTTTTTGCTTTTAACAAGTCTGATTTCTTTTCCAGTCTCAAAACAGACTGGTAAGTCAAGACTTTAAGTTTTCAGAAACCAATAGTCGGGTCAAATAAAACCAGCATTTATCATTATTTTTCTTTTTAAGTGTAACCATAACTTTCATCTTATAAGATGATGGCTTTTTTTTTATATGTCAGTTCTCAAAACAAGAAGAGAACCCATGTATTAGCTAATATATTTCTGTTCGTACAATTACAGTGACTTTTGAGATAAGAGGTTTGGGTTTTAACCGATTAGTTCTGATCTTTCCAACATATCCATAAAAAAGAACCTAATTAGCTCCATTCATTTCATTTTCAGGTTTGCCAGTATTGCATATAAGCTATTTGGAGCTACTATCATGATGTTTCATCCTGTGGAACATTTAAAGTTTCAGAACATCTCTGTCAGTCTCAGTTCTGCAAGAGCTAGCTCGCCTTCCCAAACCTACATTTGCCACCCAAATTGGCACGATGGGGTCTAAGAAAAGCCACGCTTACTTACGCAGGAACACTTTCAAATTCTTCTGCAGTTATTAGGGGTGCTTCTTTAATAAGTCTTATCTCTTTTGTAGGTTTCTTTGCACGTTCAGGTTCTACAGCTTTTGTTTGTTCTTCACATTTCACAGTTAGCCCAGTGATGCTGTAAAATGAATGAATATTAAGTGTTTAAATAGCAGATAAGTAGTAAGGAGAATACCACTATATTATCAAGTCTGCTTACCCCAGACCTAAGTTCCAACCCATCTGTTCGGGCTGGATGAGCACAATTCACCATCTTTCCTGAGAGAAAAATAAAACAAGCCTACTCCATTTCAAATTGCATACTTTATCCGACTTCATTATAGCTCTTCGTTTCTCTGCTAGAAAGGCTGCTAGCAGGTGAATTGGAAGCAGTCCAAATGTAGCACAGAGCAGTTAAGAATTCAATGTACCATTACATTTCACAGAACATGAGGCCTCGCTTTTTATCAGATGAACCACAGCACAGAGCTGCAGCCTAACAGGCAGATTTAAAATACTTCACAGCTCTTTGAAACAAGTTCAAATCTTGGGCAGCCTGACTCATCCATTAATCTTTTGAAGCAAAGAAATTCAACACCATCCAGCAGGCTGGAATTTTTTTTTTAAATTTTTTTTTTAAGGCAAGATCCCAAAAGCTGAGGAATTTCCTGCTTTGAGTGATTATAGAGCACTATGTTTAAAAATTCACCCTTCTTCCAAACCCTCAGCTTAGAGCCTCAAACCCCAAGTTATTTGCCAGCCACCCACCTAGCCGGCCTCCTACTCTTCGGTAGGACAGCAAAGAGGGTGCATTTGGCCAAATTCACTGTCGTCTGAACACAAGGACATTATAGGGCTGAGATGCACAACAGAAATCACTAAAGCAGGACCGAGATGACCTGTCACAAAGAACCAATCCTTTACTTTGATCTAACCTTCCCACAAGAAGAGATCTTTCTTTGACGTGGGGCCCTACACTCAGCAGTGCCCCATCTGAGGGCTGGGATCTGATGCGTCCCTCGATGTGACACCCCCAACCCAGCGTCCCATTTCCCAGGAAAGACAACTGCAGTGCGGAGGACAGCGAGTGCCATGAGCACCCAAACTGTCTGGTCCGTGACACAGCAACAGGGGAAGCTCTGCTCCATGCTGTGTCACAATGCAGAGCCCTTCTGAAATTCAGGATGCCAACAGTTAAACGAATTCAGATGTAAACATCTGAGAAGCAAGGCGAGGCCCTGCACAAAAGTACTCCTGGCACCCTGGAGCTAGGGCTAGTTGCAGGGAATGTCGGCAGAGGAGAAGGAAAGGAAAGGCTGAGGAGTTTTGGTGGTGTTGGAGGTGGCTTTGGAATAGAAGGATAAACACAAGGACTGAGGGAGGTGAGAATTCACATTTGAAAGCTTCACTTCTCCTGTGCATTTGCCATCCTCCTCACTGCAACAAACCTCTAATCTTTTCTAGACGATTCCCCACCCCTGGGTACTTCTGCTCTGGGTACCCACCTACTACCTTGCCTGTTCATCACTGCATGCAGCTCCCTGCTGACCCGGACCACGAAATGAAAGAATCAAAGCTTGTATTCAAAATCTGGGTTCGGTGTAATGAGAAACTGCTCTCTCAAACACCTGGAATACAAAGGGCTTAAGATACATTGAACTTGCTTTTTATGTCAGTGAGATTCCTCTGGTAAATAGGAACATCAAAACCAAGAACACAGGCAAGAAGCAATAGCTAAAGCCATGAATTGTTGAATTTGTCTGTGTGGGCATTTTCATTCTGTCCAAGATTTGAAGGCCTGTCTCCCCGGTGTTCAAGTGCTCATGCTGCTTTCTGCATTACTTATTTCACAATATTCACTCAGACAATTAGTACTCAGCTCCCGAAGCATTTTGGGATGTAGAGGAACAGAAATGGAGAAGGTCAACGGAGACAGAATTGGAAAAGATGACTGAAGACCCATTTACACCAATACAGACGTGTTCTGACCAGTTAGAGTCTGTCTTGCACTTGCTCCATCCGCCACTGCACAACACAGTGAACACCGAGAAGTGTCAACATAGGGACAAAGAAGAAAGGGTGCTTTGACAAATGGCATTAACGCAGAATGTGTTAGGAAAAACCTCAGGAAAAACCAACAGCACACACTGACAGAACAACAGTTGTAAAGTGGCAGAGCATAATCTGTTGAAAATTACTAGAAAAACTTGCTTAGTTTTACATGTGTGGTCCTTTCTAGAAAGGGAAGGAGCAGCTAAACTCGTATCGCAGTTAACTTCTTGATCAAAAGCAGGACAAGATTGGAAGGGAAACCAACATCCCAAAGAATCTGTTTCATCTCAGAGGTAACACAATCACTAAACAAGCCTCATTTGCAGCTAAACAATTCCCAGTAGCTAATGTAAACTGAAGACAAAGGTTTTTCCTAAACTAAGAAAGTAAGTTGCGAAAGGAAGGCAGAAGCCCAGTGATAATTTCTGAAGAACTTCCATTCTTTCAGACACATCGGAAAAAAAAACATTCTGCAACATCTAAATTGAAAAGGAAATTGAAAAAGGAACAAGACATCTGTAGACACATTTTAGGAGGCTGTTTCCTAAACTGAGGGATCATGTCTAAAGGTCAGAAAAAAGCTTCTGCACAAGTCATCTCTTTACCAGCTAAGACTAGTCCAAGTTGCAATACAAGCAGTACCTACCCAGATGAGAATATTGCTGCACACGGTCTAAAATTACAGTTCATTTTTCTCTTCTGTAACCTTATTCCCACATCCTTAACCTTTTACTTTGCTGGAACATGCCTGTAATGCTTTCAGCCCAAGGCTTATCTGGCATTAGGAGCAAGACCAGGTAAAGCTGATAGATTCGGGGCACATTTTGGAAGCACTGAATTCAAATGGACTGATGCATTGCCTTCTGACAAGCTACAAGGGTGGAAACAAGTTCTGGGATCTCCAGATGTTAGACTCTAGAAGAGAACCCCATCTGGTATACACTAACACCACTCCAAAATAAAAAGCAGTTCCAACAGGCCAGAGAAAGAGCTGACCACTCCAAGAAACCTAGTCAGAGTTACAAAGCCTTAGAAGCCTTCTGAGTAATAGCTATTGTTTCATATACTTGTGTCTCATTCTCTCACTTGAGCTACTTTATTCTGTACAGCTTCTTAGTACAGCCCTCTCAAAGACCGGTGGATGTCATTGCTAGCTAGAATAAATGACATGCTGCTGGAGGGAAAGGAGAAAAAAAAAATACCACAACCATAATTCAACCCCCCACAGAAAGATGACTGAGATAGAGCATTTTTTTTTTTTCAATCACATGTGGAAGGGCAGTGTTGAACTTCAGCTCTAGTGCCCCAGCACTTGGATCACTAACCCACCCTTTGATCCTTACACACTGCAGTAATCAAATCGGTGTGTTTGCAATTCTAAAGAAAGAGATGCTCAGATTTATAGAAGAACTAGCTTTCTACTATAATGTCACACCTGCCACTGGAAGATTCCATCTGAACAACTTGGTATTTTGTAGGTTTTTACCTGTGGGATTTGTTAGGGTGCCAGCACAAGCCTGGTAGCGAGAAGTCAAGAGCAAACCCCAGAATTAATATGTATAGCAACTTTGTCTCCCAAAAATTCACAGTTAATATACAGCAAAAGGAGTAGAGCTGTACAATGCTGCAGCTGGACACTGCCAGGAGCATCCCACTATCTCCATACTCATGTACCACATACCAGCTCTGAGTTGGTTTAGGCAGATGGGGAGGAATGTTTTCACGGAGGTGCTGTGCTTCATTTTGATCCCTCTCAGCAGACTTCTGGAGCTCCTGAAATTAAGGTTAGACTTCATTAGAAATCTGAAACTATTAATGTCAAGTAAGTAAAATTAGTTTACTAATAGAGTGATGCTAAAATAATTGTTAACTTGATTAAGAGGTATTCTTTGCTCTCTCCCCATCATCCTACCTCTTTACTCCCTAATTTCCCAAGAGCAACTAGTAAAGCTCAGAAAAACAAAACTAAGAGTGAGAAAACATAAGCTTGTCTGTCCTTGCCTGCAATGTGTCAGAGAAATTTGAGTGGGCAAGAAGTAAGTTTTTAACACACCCTAGCAGGTCTGGGCAGGTGAATGGTGGTGGTGATGATACTACAGGAAACTCATGTACATTCCCCAAACAACATTTTCACTAAAGACTTAACACATGAAGGCAGTGCAAACACACATCAGAAGAACAGATAAATAATCTAATTAAATAGTTTTTTTACAGATATTGCAACAATGTAAAAATTGAACTGCTCTTTAGATCACAGTATGTATTATGATAAAGACACACTTTCAATGTATGAACCTTGAAAAAGAAAATTTTTAACATTCACTGTGCTGGAGAGCTGGTTAATAAACCATCAGTAAGTCTGTTCCAAGCCCCAGTTTCTCTTGTAAGCACATGCATCCAAACATATCACTGAGGATCTATGCACTTATCAAAGATTCCTTTGAATCTTTCACTGTTTTATGAACAGGGGAAAAAGAAAAAAATTACTTTTAGCAAATTCTTCAGTTTTTCTTGCTGTTGAACTTCAGTTTCCATTTTATTCAGGAGATCACGCAAGAGAACCATCTCATGCCCTATTTTACAGAGCATAGACTTGAGGGATGGTTCTTGACCTGTCAAAGAGGGAATGGTAAGGCAAAAGGGCAAAACACCTCCAACACAAAAAACAAAATCCCATTTCCCTCCCCTCCACAAGCCGTGATAATTTACTAAATCCATGGTCCCCAATCACCGCATCTTCCCAGGAGAAGCAGCAATATTCACTGGTCAAAGTCAACCTCCTACTGCATACAGCCAACAGAGTTCAAAATTGCCGCAGGAATAAAGGCTTCTCTCCAGCACGATGCTGGAAAGCACTAAGCTGTACCTGCTGCCACTGCAGGCTGCAGGTGGAGAACGCAGGTCTTAAATGCAGCCAGGCTTTCACAGCTGCGTGGCTGCAGCACCCTGCTCTACTTCATGCTCTCCCTCTGTTTAGGGGAGCTCAAAAGCTACTGCCCTCTTTGGAAAGAGTTATAGATCCTCTTCAAACAGGAGGTTAGCCTAGGTGACCAGACAACCCTCTCAACCAACATTTCGATGATACTGTGTAACCTCTATTTGTGCCTGGGAAAGGATAAGAGACGAATCCAAAAACGTTCAGATCGATTTTAGTAAGTCGTTTTAAATCGGTTTGTTACCCACAGCACGTTTGCATCACAGCTAGCTACTGCTGGAGTGCCAGGACAAGACACCTGTATAAACCTCCATCTATGCCTTTGCACATGTTTGGAATTAAGCTTAACATACTCACTTAACATACTCGAAAAGATATTTTTTCTTCTCTTATCCTGAGCTCTCCCCACCAAGTATACAGAATATAGGGTACGTTAACCACCAGTCTTCAGAAGTCCCTCAGAGGAATATACTTTCACTTAGCCTGTGTTCTCTGCTTGGCACCTAGGTCCCTGCTAACGCTCCCATTTTGCCATCCTTGCTCACATTGCTGTTCTCTGTATTTTACTTGACTTCTACTTCACGTTAGGTTCCTTGTCTAATTAGAACATTCCCATTTTCTGCAAGGAGCTGCAAACCAAAACCTACTCTTCAATTCTTTTACCTATGTTTCTTAATTGCAGGGTCTTTTTAATAGTCGAAATCTTCATGTTGATGTGAAAGCATAAATCTTCCAGGTCTGAGGACGCCATATCTGCTATTATCATACTGAGTGAAATAAAAAAGAATGCAGTAATTCCAGAAAGACCAAAGTCGCAAACAGTAGACACACAAGCAGAATTTTAAAAAGGACCCTGATATGTCAAAGAAGCAAAGGGAACTTATATGAAGCAGTAAATGTAGCAGCTACCTTTAATTTTACTAAATTGAAAGCAGAAGAGGAAGCTCAAAGTAACTGGCATCAGACAAGACAAAGCAATTTCCCTGAACTCTGGAGATAAATGCAGTGTATTATTACTACAACGATTCCTCATGAAGCTGGGGAAGTTTTCTATTATATTAAGGTGCTTGCTACTAAAGGAGTTGGAAATTTACTGCAATAAACAAGAAATACTGGTTTAAAGTAGTTCTATAAGGCACTGCCAGAGAGATTGCATTGGGTGATCAGTATTTTAAAGAGGTGTTTCATTGTTTTTGTGGGGTTTTTTTTTTTAAAGGATCAGTAACTAAACAAAGGAAAATGTGCACTTGCTTGCTTGCAGAGCATGGTGGCACAAAAAGCAGCATTATACATCGCTTACTTTTGTGTAAGTACAGTCGGGAACTCTATTCCAGGAAAGAGCCGATAGAAAAACGTGAGCTCCTTGTACCGCCACCGCCGGGCAGCCCCTGCGTTTACAGCGCTTACACAGCTCCCTCTCGTGGCTACCTCACACCCGAGAAACGAAACTTTTTTTTGCGTTAGTTTTACACCACTACGAACCAGCACGATCGCCGAATTAGTTATTAGAGATTCTCACCCCCTCCCCCAGCCGAGGAGAAACCGTTATAACCCGCGGCACCCCTCCCCCCGCCGTCTTGCCTCACGGCCTGGCCCAAGGCGAGTATCTCCTGCCCCCGCGCCCCGCTCTCACCGCTGCGATGACCGGAGCGGGCCGGCC